CGTCAGCCGCCCGCCGGCCGAGTCGCGGATGGCCATGGCGATGAGCGCGATGTACGAGTACGGGGGCTTGGGCCGCCGCGTGTACGGCTTGCTGCCCGCCCCCGCCGCGCCCCCAGCGCCGGGCCCCGGGGCGGACGCGCAGGCCGCGGGCGCGGAGCGGGCGGAGGACGCGGGGGCGGCGCTGCTGCGCGAGCCCGTGTACAACTGGCAGGCCACCAAGCCCACCGTGCAGGAGCGCTTCGCCTTCCTCTTCAACAACGAGGTGCTGTGCGACGTGCACTTCCTGGTGGGCAAGGGGCTCAGCTCGCAGCGCATCCCGGCGCACAGGTGGGCCGCGCGGGCGCCACGGGGCCAGGGGGCCAACGCCCGGGAGCCTCCGCCCGGGGACCCCCATCCGGGACCCCCGCCCGGGACCCTCCACCCGGGGACCCCCATCTAGGACCCCCATCCCGGACCCTCCGCTCGGGGACCCCCATCCGGGACCCCCACCCTGGACCGCGGCACCCGGGATCCCCCGCCTCTGCTACCTGTCACCCCTCCACCCCTGCGCTCCGGAACCCCCGCGACCCCTCGGGTCTGCCACCCCTCGGCATCCCCGAACCCGTGACCCCTCCACTCCCGCCCGCACCCCCTGCTGAACCCGGGCTCCGCCACCTCGGTCTGTGACCCCCAGCTCGGGAGTCCTGGTCCCTGCTGTCTCCACCAAAGACCCTCACGCCTCGTCGCACCCCGTCTGGTGTCCCGTGCTCCCCCAGCCCTGCGACGCGGGTCACAGGTCACAACCACCCCCCTCCCCAAGCCCAGCAACCTTAAGGCCCTGAGACCCTGATAGCCCCCTCCGGCCCAGCGCCTCTGCCAGAGACCCCTGCGCCGTGCCGCCTTGGCCACCCCTCCCCCAGCTCCACCAAGTCCAGGCCCTGACTCTGGGCCTGACGCTGCCCGGTGGGCCCTGCACTCGCTCCAGCCTTGCCCCTTGCCCCTTGCCCCTACCCCATCCTTCCTGGGCCACCACCCCAGACCGCTGCCCAAGACTCCCAGCTTGCAAACGCCTCTTTCCCAGAGACCCCCAGCTCCGGAACACCCCCCCACCATCCAGGACCCTCCCCAGCCCCCAGGCCTCCTTTCTGGGAAAGGAGGGGGTCTGGTCCAGGCCCCTGCCCACTCCCAGTCCCTCATTTCAGGGGGCTTGTTGGGGGGAGGGGCTCAGGCTTTCTTGCCTCTGGGGCCTGGAATGTTCTCCGGAGTCTGCTGTGAGCAGTCGATGCCTCCTGACCGGTGGCTTTCTGGCTCCTTCCTGGGTGTTTCTGTACAGCCGAGGGTCCCCCTGCAGTGCTCAGCAGACGTTCCAGCCCGCGGAGGGTCCCGGGACCTCATGTGGCCTGTGCCTTCCCTGTCTGTCATCCAGAGGGGCTGGCCTCTCCCCTTCCCCCCAGGCTGGGAGTGGGGGGCTGCCTGGTTCGCACCCCGACATGGGCTCACTCTCCTGGAGCTTTGGGGAGGGATGCATGCGGCCGGGTCCCGCCCCGCAGCAGGTGGAGTTGGAGAATCCCAAGGTTTCTGCTTGAGGGGGTTGGAGGGGGCCCCTGGGCACTGGCTGACCGTGGGACGTGTACTTGATTATGCTTGAGGGTGCACTGGCTTGGTGGGAAAGTGGGGACGGTAAAGGTGGGGTGAGGCCCCCCAGAGAGAGGCAGCTTAGGGGTCTGGCCTTGGTGGGCACAGTACAGTTGACCCTGGAACAACACGGGGTGAGGGGTGCCCACCCCTGCTTGGTCAAAAATCTGCATGTAACATTTGACTCCCCCAAAACTTAACTAGTAAATAGCTTCCCGCTGACCTGGCCCTGCCAATAACGTAAAGGGTGAACACGTGTTCTGTGCGTTCGGTCAGGTGCGGTGTTTTAATAGCGTGAGCTGGAGAAAAGAAAATGCTATTAAGAAACTCACAAGGAAGAGAAGATAGATTCACTGTTCGCGAAGTGGAGGCGGGTCGTCCTAAAGGTCTCCGTCCTCGCCGTCTTTGCGCTGTGCAGGAGGAGCAGAGGAGGGTGGGTCTTGTCTCTGGCGTGGCAGAGGCAGAAGAAAATCCACATGTGAGTGGACCACAGTGTGGTTCAAGGGTCAGCTGTTTTTACCCAGCATTTGAGGAGAGTCTGGGGGGCTGTAGCAGAGGCTGGGCACTGACCGGGTCCAGGACGACCCCCTGAACGTGTGATGCTGAGGGCGTGTGCGGTGCCCCGAGCTCAGGGTGTGAGCCCCGGAGGCCAGAGGAGCCGGGCAGCTGGGAGCCACAGCAAAGCCAGAGTGGGAGCAGCGAGTGGTTTTGCTGTGGCCCAGAGGGACCAGATCTGCTTTGAGGTGTGGAGTGAGCCTTTGGTGGGGCCAAGGGGCGAGGCCTGGGGAGTGGCAGCCACAGACTCAAGACAAGGGGACAATGGGTTTGGCAGCGGTGGCAGAAAGGGGAAGGAGGATCCAGTGCCTCCTCCCCATGGCCAGGTGAGGGACAGTGGGGGCCTGCAGCGGGGGTCTTGCAGACTTCTGGCTGGAGTGTCATGGCGAGGACAGGCTTGGAAGGGACGAGTTCGGGCATTGGAGGGGCTGAGCTGCCTGGCCGAGCGATGCATCCTGAGCGTGCTGTACCTCAGTTTCCACACCTGTGAAATGGGCTCTTGGGTGCGTCCATCCCCCGATGGAGTGCTTATAACAGTGTGGGTAGAGACGTGCCTCCATGGGAGGGGAGATGGAGCGTCCCACCAGACAGCCCTGAACAGCGGAAAGACGCCCTGCGGACCTTAGTCCCCACCCTGCGTCCAGGCTGGGCCGGCCTCAGGCTCTCTGTAAGGAATGGAGGAGAAAGGGGAAGACAGTAACCTGGCCCTAGGGACCCCGGGACCCCACCTTCACCAGGTGGCCACGGCCAACATCACGGGTGATGTCATGTGGGTATGAGATGTCCCTGGTTGGATGTTCCCAAAACCTATAACCCCGATGGCCTAAATGGTAGCCCCACAAAATGTCCACATCCTAAGCCCTGGAACCTGGGAGTGTGACCTTATTTGGTAAAAGAGTCTTTGCAGATGTGGTTAAGTGAAGGGTCCCAAGATTCGATCGTTCTGCTTATCCGGGTGGCCCTAAACACAGTGACAGATATCCCTCTGAGGAGAAGAGAAGTCAGCGTAGAAAGCCTCATGCAGACGGAGGCAGAGACTGGAGTGATGTGGCCACAAGCCAAGGGACACCCGGGGCTCCCGGAGCTGGAAGAGGCAGGAGGACCCTACCCTGGAGGTTCCAGAGGGAGCGTGGCCCCGAGACACCTTCATGTCACACTTTTGGCCTCCGGGACTGCGCGAGTGCAGATTCCTGTTGCTCTGAGCTGCCCAGTTTGTGGTCATTTCTTGCCACAGCGACAAGAAACCAATACACTCGGTCTAACCACGAGAAAACACGCATCCAGATGGGGGCGACCAGCAAGGCAGCTGGCTGGGCCTCCTGCTGTCAAGGTCACAGAAGACAAGGAGCATCTGAGAAACCGTCACGGCCCAGAGGAGCCCAGGGAGAAGCAAGGACTACATGCCACGTAGGATCGTGGGTGGGGCAGGAAGAGAACAGTGGGGGACAGTGGGACAGCGCAGTGGCGTCTGGAGTTTGCCTACAGAGCAGAGTGGGGCAGGGGCCTGCGCGAGTTGCTAGGAGGGCCGCTCTCCGGGTGGTCTGGACCCATAGTCTTTGGTGGGCATAGCCAAGGGCTGGGGCTCAGAGTGCCCTGAACTCTGGGTGCAGGTGGACTGGGCTTGGCAGAGAGAAGGCCCCGTACCGGAGACCACAGCATAACAGTTGGCATTTGTGATTTCACGTGGCTTCTGGGCTATTCTCTGGGCCCAGATAAGCTTACATCCCATGTCATCTCTGCAAGGTTTTGCCTGGAGGCCTGGCACACAGTAGGTGCTCAGTAAACACGTGTTGGACGACCTGCTGGAACTAAGCATCTCTGTTCTCTCATGGGGCTCAAAGGAGGTATTTAGTGTTTCAGGGTGGTGCTGTTTTAGAAGTATGGATCAGCCAGTCCCCTAACATCAGTATCTGAAATACCTTCTTTCCATCATGGGAAATGGAGAACTCTCTAGAAAGTGGAACAGTCTGTTCCGGGGTCTCTTTGGTTTCATTGATCAGTTTGTGTATTCTTAGCAAACACATTGTTTGAGGATTCTTGCTTTCTGGTGTGGTTTGAGAACTGCTGAGCAAATTCTTCCCAACTTTATTCTTTGCCAAGACTTTTTCAGCTGGTCTCACGCATTTGCTCTCCCGGAATCCTCTCCCATCCATCGATCCGTCTGTATCCTGCAGATACATCCATTGAAACACAGGGCTGGCTGCAGGGGCTGAAGATGGCTGGAAAAAATCTCTTCCATTGTGGAACTTAAATTCTCACGTAGACGCCAGCAGGTTAATGGAAAGGGCTAGAGAGTGAATATTTCTGTGGGTTGTTTGTAGCAACTACTTAATCCTGCTGCAGCAGCACAAAAACTTCCGTAAATCAGCAACCTGTAAATGAATGGGGGTGGCTGTGTTCCAATAAAACTTTATCGACAAAAACAAGTGGTGGGCTGGGTTTGTCCCAAGGGCCGGCCCCTGGCCTAGTGGTTCCCTTTGATTTTCAGAATCAATTTGTTAATTGCTAAAGGATTTTATACTGGAAGTTGGTCTTCCCAAAGATACCAAGTTTGGTAATTTTTTTGCTTAATTTTTTTCTTTTTAGAGACAGGGTCTCACTCTGTCACCCAGGCTGGAGTACAGTGGCATCATCATAGCTCACTGCAGCCTCCAACCGCTGGGCTTAAGTGATCCTCCTGCCTCAGCCTCCCGAGTAGCTGGGACTACAGGCACACGCCACCACCCCTGGCTAACTTTTAAAACATTTTTTTGTAGAGATAGGATCTTGCTGTGTTGCCCAGGCTGGTCTCCCAAAGTGCTGGGATTGTAGCCCTGAGCCACCACCCCCAACCTATGTAGTTATTTCATAGGATTTTCTTTCTATTGTGAATATTACCTTTTTTCCATTCTATTTTTCTAGCTGATTGTTTCTGGAAAGCTGTAGATTTTTGTGAGATTACTTTTATCTGATTCAAACGATTTCTTCCTGAACGCTTAGTGATTTTGCTGTTGGTCCTGCGTTCTGGTCCCATAGGATTTTCTGTGCTGGTGGGAATGTTCTGGGTCTGTGCTGTCTAGTACCGGATGCTGGTCACGTGTGGCCGCTGAGGACTGGACTGACTTGTGGATGGTGTGACCGAGGAATTGAATTTTTAAATCATTTAAATTTAAATTGAGATTTGACTAGCCATGCCTGGCTGGTACTGACCTCTCTGGACAGTGCATGCTCAGACTTTTAAATTCGAGACTCAGGTTGTGGACAGATATTTTCCTTCCTCTCTCTTATTTCTGCCTCTTATTTTTTCTGTTCTTTCTGCATTTCTGACCGTTGTTTACTGATACATAACAGAGGTGGTAGCTGCAGCCTGTTTTTCACGGTTAAGTGTGTTCATTGATATTGGTTTCTCACAAATTCGGTTTATTAGGGTAAGAAAGTTTCCTTGTACAGCTTATACTAAGAGTTTTTATGACGTGAGTGTGGAGTGTTATTTTTGCTGGAGTTAGGTTTATTTGATCTGACAGTTGCCTATGTAGCAAATGCATACAATTGTGCAGCAATTACCATAGCCTAGTTTTTAGTTTTTAATTTTTTAGAAATGGGGTCTTGCTATGTTGTCCAGGCTGGTCTAGAACTCCTGGGCTCAAATGATCCTCCCTCCTCAGCCTCATGAGTAGCTGGGACTACACTACACTCAGCTAATTAAAAAAAAATTTTTTTTAGAGATGGGATCTTGCAATGTTGCCCAGGCTGGTTTCAAACGCCTCGGTTTAATGGCGCCTCCCGCCTCACCCTCCCAAGTAGCTGGGATTACAGGTGTGAGCCACTGCGCCTGGCCACAGTCCAGTTCTTTAATGCTTTAGCGACCCCAAAGATTCCTTCTTGCCCTGTTGCAGTTGGTGCCTGCTCCTGCCCCAGTCCCCAGGCAACACCGAGCTGGTTTCTGGCTCTACAGTTTTGCTATTTTTAGAAATTTCATAGAATTAGGATCATACAATGTGTAGTCCTTGGTCTGGCTTCTTTCATTTCGTGTCAAGTTTGGGAGGTCCACACCATTGCGTGTGCGCATCAGCGGTTCATTTCTTTTTATTGCTAAGGTAATTTACTGCTGAATTTCATCGAATGGCTGCACTGGACCAGTTTGTCCACATAACATCCGTATAGGGAGTCGCCCTATGGGTATTCCCGGTTTTTGGCTATTGTGAATCATGCTGCCATGAGCATTCATGCCCAAGTCCACGTGGGGCCATGTATCTCCTTTCTCTGGTGTGCGTTCCTCAGAGTGGAGTGGTTGTGTGATAGGGTAGCTCTTATGTTTAACGTTTTAAGAAACTGCTAAAGTGTTTTGCAAAGTAACTGCTGCATTTCACGTCCCACCAGCCACGCAGGGGGCGTCCAATGATGTCTTCGTCTGGCTCGGGTATCCTTGTAATTCTGGCCTTGGAAAATGAGCTGTGAAACGTTTCCTCCTCTTTGTTTTTCTTTTATTCTTTTTAGAGACAGGGTCTCGCTGTCACCCAGGCTGGAGTGCAGTGGCCGTCATCAGAGCCCACTGCAGCCTGCAACTCCTGGGCTCAAGCCATCCTCCTGCCTTGGCTCCCCAGAATGCTGGGACTACAGTGTGCGCCACTGCGCTCAGCCAGAGTCCTACAATTTGATTCAATTCTGGCGCTAACTACCCAGTGTGTCAGCACAGACCCCACAGGTCACCGGCTCAGGCCCACAGACCTGCCCCTGCTTCCGACGCCAGTCGTGAGCGGCAGGCCCCAGGTTACCCACGCTTCTGTGCAGCTGGCCTGCAGCCGAGGGTTCCCTCAGCCCAAACCTCCGCCCGATAATTTCCTATCACAGCTCACAGGACTTAGGGACACACTGACATTTACCAGTTTATTATAAAGATCTAATGACAGGTACAGTTGAGCAGTCAGGTAGGGAGGACCATGGGGCAAGGTCCAGGAGGGTCCCGGGCGCAGGAGCCTCTGTCCCCATGGAGCTGGGGTGCGTCGCCCCCCAGCAGTGATGAATTCGCCCAGTTGGAAACTCTCTGAACCCTGTGGCTTAGGGGTGTTCAGGAAGGTTCCGTGACGTAGGATAAAGTCATTACATCTTCGGCCGTTTGTGTGCTGGGCTGTTCTTCTGGTCTTTAACTTGTTTTCCAAAGCTACGTGGGGGATTCTTCTCTGCCCCTTCAGAGTGGTGTGTCGTTCTTTTTTCCGTTTAGTTTTTAAATTGTGGTGAAATCCACAGAACATAAAATGTACCATCGTAACCATTTGTAGGTGCGCAGTTCAGTATCGTTAACACATTGACAGTGTTGTGCAGCCGTGACCACCCTCCGTCTCCAGAACTTTCTCGTCTTCCCAAACTGACGCTCCGTCCCCATGAAACACTCACCCCCCACCCCCTCCCCAGCCCCTGGCGACCACGAATCCACGTCCCGTCTCTGTGGATCTGCCTGTTCTGGATGTTTCATATAAATGGAGTCTGACACTGTGTGTCCTTCTGTGTCTGGCGTCTCTCACTGAGCACGACGTCCTCAAGGTCCCTCCACGCTGTGGCCTGTGTCAGAGCCTTGTCCCTTTTCATGGCTGAGTGATGTTCCACGTGTGGAAAGACCAGGTGTGTGTGTCCACCCCTCTGTCCACGGGCACTGGGTGTTTCTACCTTGTGGCTGTTGGGGATCTTGCTGCCGTGCACCTTTGGGTACGAGTCTTTGCGTGGACAAATGTTTCTGATTCTTTCTAAAGGAGCAGGGGGCTAAAGACACAGGAAGGGGTGGCTGGCTGGGCGTGGGCTGGAGCTGAAGTCCTCGTGAGGGTGACCGAGGGGAGGTTGTGGTGGTAGCGGAGCCACCTGGGGACCCACCTGCGATGGGGTCGTGGCCTCCACCTCGCAGGGCGAAGGAGGTGGTGGTGGGGCTCCTGCCCCCGCCAGGGCAGCTGTGACTCCGCCCTGGGCACAGAGGGCCACATCAAGCTGGGTCTGTGCCTAACATTCCACTTCTGAGTCGTCAGAGGGTTCCCCGCAGGAGGCCGAGATGCTTTTTAAACCAAGAAAGAAAAGACCCACACGGAGGCGCTTCGTTTCTAGAACATCGCGTGGGAGGGAAGCGCGTGGGCCTGGGGCACCGGCCGTGGCGGGGCTGACAGGCCGTCGGGTGGTCACGCGTGCTGGAGGCTGGGGGTGGCGCGGAGCAGCGGGTTTTCCTGAGTCCTGGGGCCCGGAAGGGTGGGCACCTGGCCGTGGTTCCAGGTGGGCACGGGCACCCTTCTGGGGGATACTGGTGAGCCTGCCGCACTCGGTTTCTGGCCTGGCCCCGGGAGCTGAGCTGGACACGCAGCGGGGCTGGCGGGGCGAGTGCGGGGGGAAAAGGGGGGACAGAGCAGCGTCTCCCTTGAGGGGCGGGGGCCTCCCAGGCCGGATGCCCCAAGGGCTGTGGGGAGCTGGCCCCGTGTGGGAGTGGGAGGCCGCCCCGCTGAGGCTTGTGGGCTCTGCCCCACCTGGGACACGTGGACCCGTCTGCCGGCTCCAGAGGTTTCCGGGCAGGGCGTGGCTTCTCAGAACCCGGCATTTGCCAAGTGCAGACACTGGGAGGGGACAGCCCAGGGGCAGGGGACTCAGGGACCTCGCAGGCTGAGGGCAGGTGCTTTGCACCAGGCTGGCCACGTGGCTGCGTCTCCCCCCTGCGCCCCTTCCTGGTTGTCTGCCCCCCCGGGGACCGTGTATGGACAGCACCGAGTGTCGCCGTCCTCAGCCTGGTCACTGTGGAGTCCTCCCCAGCCCTGCGCAGCCAGGCGACCACAGGGGTCACGGCTGGCTCTCTTAGGGTCCCGGGAGGCCCCCATAGCCTGTCTGTGCCCACAGCGCCCTGTTCTGGGTGGAACCCCAGGCCTTCCCCTGGTCGCCGCCCAGCTGGGCCATGGCTGTCCCCACCTGCGCCCTGACGCTCCTCCGTGCTCCTGCTGCTCGCTGGGCCCCCACACCCTTCTCCACAGACTCAGCCGGCCCAGGTGACCCCAGAGGGCTGCCCTGGGCCTTGTGCTCCCGACAGTGTCACGTTGCCCTCCCTCTGACCCACCTCTGGGGCTGCCCAGCCACTCAGACCTCGTCTGCCGCCCTCCATGAGGGCAAAGCCCCAGCCTGTAGCCCTGGAGGAGCGGTGTTGATTGAGCGAGTGAGGGAACGAGTGAATGAATGAATGAGTGAGGGAATGAATGAATGAATGAGTGGCCGAGTGAAGGAGTGCTGTTGCACGGACAGACGGGAGGCTGGAGGGGGCAGAGGGGACCCGACCCCACGCGACCTCAGGGACATCTGTCCAGCTCTGGCCTCTTGTTGCTACTGACCCCTCCGAACCGTTGCCCACTCTCGACACGACACCTGCCTTCCAGAAGCTTCTGCTGCTGTGGTGCTGGGTGTGGTGCCTGCTGGGGGCTGGCAGAGGGTCCCGGTGGGCAGTCACCTTCAGACCCCGCTGCAGCCGTCCAGCCCCCGCCCTCCTGCCCCTGTGTGGTGGCGGCTGACGGTCTCCTCTCTCCCGTGCCAGGTTCGTGCTGGCCGTGGGCAGCGCCGTCTTCGACGCCATGTTCAACGGGGGAATGGCCACCACGTCCACCGAGATTGAGCTGCCCGACGTGGAGCCGGCCGCCTTCCTGGCCCTGCTCAAGTGAGGCTCGCCGGCCGTCCCACACGGGGCAGCGGGGCCCTGGGGAGGGGAAGCCGGGTATCGAGACTCAGAATGGAGCCACGGCTCCACGGAGGTTTCTAGAACCTGCCTTTGTGGGGAGGGCTGGGCTCCAGAGCTTCCCCTTTTAAAAATTATTTCTGGCTAGGCGCGGTGGCTCACGCCTGTAATCCCAGCACTCTGGGAGGCCAAGGCGGGTGGATCGCTCAAGGTCAGGAGTTCGAGACCAGCCTGAGCAAGAGTGAGACCCCCATCTCTACTGAAAAATAGAAAGAAATGATCTGGACAACTAAAAACATATATATATATATATACATAAAAAAATTAGCCGGACATGGTGGCGCATGCCTGTAGTCCCAGCTACTCGGGAAGCTGAGGCAGAAGGATTGCTTGAGCCCAGGAGTTTGAGGTTGCTGTGAGCTAGGCTAACGCCACGGCACTCTAGCCCGGGCAACAGAGCAAGACTCTGTCTCAAAAACAAAACACAACAAAACAAAATTACTTCTGTATCTTTTATGTCGAGATATAATTCTCGTACTGTACAATTCACACATTTAAAGTGTATAATGTAGGGCCAGGCGTGGCTCAGGCCTGTAGTCCCAGCTACTTTGGAGGCTGAGGCAGGAGGATCGCTTAAGCCCAGGAGCTGGAGGCTGCAGTGAGCTGTGATGATGCCACTGCACTCCAGCCTGGGTGACGGAGTGAGACCCTCTCTCTAAAAAAAATAAAAGAAAAAAAAAAAGAGAGGGAAACATTTCCCAACTCATTTTCTGAGGCCAGAACACGTGTTTCTGTGTGTGCGCTCAGATGGAGTTTGCCTATAGATGGGTTCAGTCTCTGGTACGTTTTCACGAGTGTCCCCAGGTCAGAGGGTGCTGATTCTGGAACCTTCTGGCCGGTGAGGTGGGGTGGTTGGATCATGCCGGCTTGAGAGAGGGCGGCCGAGTCTGACATCCGAGGGGTCACCTGGGGCTGTCCCCAGGCTCAGCCTTGGTGGCCCCGTCTCACAGCCACCATGCCTCGCCCTCAGGTTTTTGTACTCGGACGAGGTACAGATCGGGCCCGAGACGGTGATGACCACGCTGTACACGGCCAAGAAGTACGCGGTGCCGGCGCTTGAGGCCCACTGCGTGGAGTTCCTCAAGAAGAACCTGCGGGCGGACAACGCCTTCATGCTGCTCACACAGGTGGGCGAGAGCCGCTGGGCCTGGTCCTCTTGGGTTTGCCGCGCTATTTGGAAATAATTACAGCGCGATGTTACGTACCTTGATCGACGAGGTTTCCGGCGCCCCTTCCTATCCTGTGTCCGTGAGGCTCAGGGCTGGGGCGAGCGGTGCCGGGTTCCCAAATGGGGCCGGAGACTCAGCTTCCCTGGTCGAACGAGCCCGAACCTTCTCCCTCTTGGCTGGGGAGGGGCCCCGGTGGCCGCCTGCAGGAAGCCGGGCCATCCCGTCAGCATAGCCCTCCCGGGGCCCCATGGCACGGCACTGTCCCGCCGCAGTCCTGGGCTGGAGCTTGTGCCCTAGGACGCGGCCCCTCCAGCCACAGGGGACGAGGGTGTCTTGTGGCCTGGAAGCTTCATCAGGTCGCCCCTGCCTGGCCCACTCACGCCGTCCTGCTCAGGGTCAGGGCCGCGCGCTGCCGCCCTAAAGCACACGCCTGGCGGGGCCGTGTGGGCACAGGTCCCTTCCTTCCTCGGCCTCTGCTGTCCGGGAGGGGTTTTCACCAGCTCCCCCGACCCCGCTGTGGGGCCCCCCCCGCCGTGGCTCTGTCTCGGGCTGGGAGCCGACGTCTCCCCGGACGCCTCCCACCAGGCGCGACTGTTTGACGAGCCGCAGCTGGCCAGCCTGTGCCTGGAGAACATCGACAAGAACACGTCAGACGCCATCACCGCCGAGGGCTTCACTGACATCGACCTGGGTAAGGCCCGGCCACCTTGGGCGCCACTGAGGGCCCGAGGGAGCCTCAGGTGGGAATCCGAGCTGGGCCTCAGCTGGAGGGTCGGGGTAAGCGGTGGGGGCCCACCCGAGCGAGACCCGCAGGGGAGCCGGGCACTCGCCAGCCGCAGGAGCTGGGGTGCGCACACGCCCGGGCAGTCTGGGCTGCGGCCTCGGCGAAGGGCGCAGACAAGGCACTACTGTCAGTCATGGCAGGAGGTGACCCCCCGATCCTGGGGTCACCACTATTGCAGCCATGAAGACCACCTTGTCCTCTTAAAGCCAGCAAATTTCTCTGGCAGAGGGCCCAGTGGTCGATGTTTTTGGCTTTGTCAGCAAACAGCTTCTGTTCCAGAGTCTTCAGCTCTGCCCTTGTGGCTTTAAACCACCTTAGACGATAGGAAAATGAATGGGATTGGCCGTGTGTCCATAAAACTTTATTACAAACACAGGCAGGGGGCCGGGTTGCCGAACCCCAGCTTTAACCACAGCTTCCACATCAGGGTGGGCACCGCGGTTCACACGACCGCTTCCCCTTCCCTGTAGACACGCTGGTGGCCGTCCTGGAGCGAGACACCCTGGGCATCCGGGAGGTGCGGTTGTTCAACGCTGTCGTCCGCTGGTCTGAGGCCGAATGTCAGCGGCAACAGCTGCAGGTGACGCCCGAGAACAAGCGGAAGGTTCTGGGCAAGGCCCTGGGCCTCATCCGCTTCCCACTGATGACCATCGAGGAGTTTGCCGCAGGTAACGGAGCCCACGGGGCCTGGGCAGAGGGGCCGGCGCGGGAGGAGCGTGACCCCCAGTGACACCGGGCTCCTTGGTCACACGCGTCTGCCCCGCCGGGAACACAGACGTGCTTCTCGGCGCTGACAACTGCGGTCCCCCATGTTCATTGTGGAAAACTTGAAAAATGCATAAAAGTATAAAGATGGCATCAAACCTGATCTGTGAACCGTGAGCGCGCGGGCGCGTCTGTCCCCTCTGCAGCCCCGGTCTGTGCGTCCATGGTGCGAGGCCGTCTGTATCTGTGCGCCGCCGGCGGCCGTGTCTGGTTGTGCTTTGGCGTCACCAGCCCAGGGCTCTTGTCCTGTCTGTCAGCTCAGGTGTCACCGTCCGTGGTGAGCCCACGTGAAGGAGTCTGAAGTGGCCAGGGCCAGTCCCTGTGCCCCTCAGGGTCCCCTGCTGCAGGGTCTGGAGCTCCGGGGTGACGGTGTGTGGCCACTCATATCCAGGGCTGTGTGTCCCTGGGGCCAGACAGTCCTGGAAGGTTCCAGAGGGGCTGAGAGACGCAGCCCTGTGGCCGGTGCACCCTCACCGTCCCATTGCTCCCGGGTCCACGCGGCCCCTGCCCTCGCCAGACTTAAGGTCATCAGATTTAGCAACAACAACAACAAATGATGTTTTAGCATAAGTATTTCCCATGCACTGTTTGGGACATACTTACCCTAAAAATTATTCATTGATCTGAATTCAGATTTAACCGGCATGCGACATTTTATCTGGGGACCCTCCCTGGGTTTGTGGGTGTAGGAGACGCCCTCAGGGGGGTCTTCGACAAGTCATGTGTTGCCCCAGTCCCTGTCTTTTGCCCAGGGTTGGGTGGCCCTGGGTCGTGCAAGACCCGTCGAGGGAACGGTCAGCAGGCGTTAGGGTGGGGGCGCCGTCGCTGGGCAGGAAGAGGCCTGGGGGGAGGCTGCCTGTCCACAAAGGCCATGAGGGGTCTGTGCCGTCCCCACGTGTACACAGGGCCGTCTCCTCGAGGCCCGGAGTTGTGTCTCGCGCGTCTGACTTTTCGTCATCAGTGTTTTACAGAGGACTGTTGAGGCCCGGAGAGGGTCACCCACCAAAGTCTGTGCCCAGCAGTGGGGACATGTGGTCACTGCTTCGTGGGGGGTGGGGGCGTGGATAGTTAATCAGTCAAGGTGCAGGTGGGGCTAATGCCCAGACCCTTCTGTGACGCCGGGGTTCACTTCCCGAGTGCATGGGGGTCGGAGTTGCAGGGCTGGGGTGGCCGTGCCCCCCCCATCCCCAGGTGTCCCTCAGCTGGTGCTGGCGATGCGTCCTCGCTGCCTGGAGACCTCCACCCGTACCTGGTACCCTGGCCGGTGGGCTCAGTGGCTCCCTCGAGCCCTGGTTTGCCCCATCCCTGGACTGGGGCTGGCGAGGACGGGGTGTCTGGAGTGGAGAACGGGGTGGGGCAGTTGCCGTGACCGTGTCTGTTTGGGTGAGGCCCCAGGGAATGTCCCCATGTCGCGGGCATTGCTATTTGTCAAGTATTTATTGAGTGCCTACTGTGTACTAGGTCTAGTCTAGGCCCTGGATGTGGCAGTGACAGCAGCCCAGGCACGCCCCGTCCTAAACACCTGCCCAAGCGGCCCCTTGTTGGCCCAGCTCTCCCAAAACACGGCCGTCCTCCCTGCCAGGAAAGCACGGACACCACCACCTCCTGGGTGTGCCATCCCCATGCAGCCCCTGAGTTCCCTCCGTGTCGCGCTGTCCCACTTCCTTTCCTTGGGTCCACCTTCCGGAACATACTGTGTGTCTGGATCTCATGTGCTAATGTAAATCCAGGTGTTCCCCCAAGAGTGCCCTCCCCGACATTTGCTGTCCCCAGAAATGGCCCAGCCACCAACCTGCAGGACCAGACACCTGGGAGCCCCCCACAGGGTCTCCCAGCCGTCACTCGAGCCCTCAGCCTAAGGGCTGTGCCGGTTCCCCAAATCCTGGATCGTATCGGGCTGGATCCCGAAGCAGCTTCCCTCTCCGGATGGAACTCCTGCTTGTGGCCTCGGGGTCCATCTGCCTGTTCCTTCCCGGGGCCACCCCCACCAGGGTCTGGAAGCTTCCCCCATACCTCCATGGAACCCCCACTGTGTACCACCCCCAGGCTTGGCGTTAGGGTTGGGCCTTCTCCCTGGCCAGGTCCCCCCTTGGTGGGCGCCCCCAGGGCACGGGCAGTGGGGTCAGAGAAGGTGCCGGGTGAGCGTCTGGCGTGAGTGAAGGACCCTTCCTCTCTTGCGAATCTGGCCGTGTGTCCACGAAAACCAGGGTGGTGGCAGGGACAGATCCCTGAAGGCTTGGCCTGGCCCCGGGTTGCTTGGTATGTCGCAGAGGGGACCCCTCTCTGCTCAGCAGGCTGAAGCCTGGAGGAGCCCCTCAGGGACTTGCCCTGCCAAGTGTGTGGTCACAGTGACGTCCCGGTGTATTATTTCTGCAGTTTATACAAAGATTTATTTTTAAAAAATAGTTAACATTTTTCATTCAGTTTTGTTACTCAGTCTTCCTTATTCAGTTAATCCATGTAAGTCTGTATTTTCACCTGTTGTGATTTTTACTTTAGAGACCAGGTCTCGCTATGTTGCCCAGGCTGGTCTCGAGCTCCCGGGCTCAAGCGATGCTGCCACCTTGGCCCCCCGAGTGGCTGGGACCTTGGGTGTGAGCCACTGTGCCTGGCTTCTCAGCTGTTACTAAAATCTCTGCTTAAACGTTGGGCTGTTTTGCCGCCGTGCGTGACACAGAAATGAGCTGGAAATTGCTCAGTGAGCGAGTCTGGAAGCTACGCAGGGGTGGGAGGCTCTGGATCCGCCTGGTTCCGCTCCTCCTGGCCCAGAGCCTGGTGTGTCCACGTCACTGTCGCATCTCTGCATCTGGATTTCAACCTTCCGGACTCTTCCATGGCTCAAGGGTCACCTCCCTGCTGGTGTAAGCGCTTCAGGAATGGGCTGCTCAGGGTCTGCCCTGGGGCCAGGAGCCTGGGGCCACCTAGAAGCCAGGGCTGCAGCCCGGTGTACCACCTGTGAGTGACCCTCTGCAAGGCCGTGGCCCTGCGTGGCCGGGCAGAGCAGCGCCTCCGCCACTGTGAAGTGAGGGGTGTCGCTGCACTGGCGGGCTGAGACCTGGTGCCCACCCCCTGGGGTTGGATTCTGAGGTTCCGCCCAGTCACGGAGCGAGTCAGCCCCTGGTCTTTGCGGGACCCCTGCCCAGACAGGGCAGTGGGTGGCAGCAGGGGTCCCCTGCATTCTGGGAATTGGAGGAGCAGTGTGTCCTCGGGCCTTCCCTCCCACCCCCTCCCTACCCCGCGGCCAGACACCCCCTGCCCAGCCCTCCTGTGCCCACAGGCCCTGCGCAGTCGGGCATCCTGGTGGACCGCGAGGTGGTCAGCCTCTTCCTGCACTTCACCGTCAACCCGAAGCCGCGCGTGGAGTTCATCGACCGCCCGCGCTGCTGCCTGCGCGGGAAGGAGTGCAGCATCAACCGCTTCCAGCAGGTGGAGAGCCGCTGGGGCTACAGCGGCACCAGCGACCGCATCAGGTGGGGTGCAGAGGGGCGGGGGCAGAGAGGTGGGGCACAGATGGAGAGATGCCCCCCATGGGAGGGGCCAGTAGCAGGGGGGAGGGGGACGCAGGTGGTGGGGGGCGTTTTCCTGCGGCCGGGTCTGTGCCCACCTGGGAGGCCTCGGGTCGCAGCACAGCAGAGTCCCCTTCCGGTCGTCCTCTCGGTCCCTGGACGTTAACCCCCGGCCTCTGCCACCCGCCGCTGCAGGTTCTCGGTCAACAAGCGCATCTTCGTGGTGGGCTTTGGGCTCTATGGATCCATCCACGGGCCCACGGACTACCAAGTGAACATCCAGGTCTGTGGCTGGGGCCCCGCCCCGCCCATTCCCACAGGCCCCACCCACACCTGGCCCCGCCCACCCATCTCCCATAGGCCACACCCCACTCCCCCAGTCCCACTCCGTACCCCCCTCTTACCTCGCGGTGGTAGAGAATGTTCCGGAGCCCATGGAACCTGGGCAGGTGGGTCCCGCCTGCTGCCCCAGGCACTGAGCGCCCCGCACCCGCAGATCATCCACACAGACAGCAACACCGTGCTGGGCCAGAATGACACGGGCTTCAGCTGCGACGGCTCGGCCAGCACGTTCCGCGTCATGTTCAAGGAGCCGGTGGAGGTGCTGCCCAACGTCAACTACACGGCCTGCGCCACGCTCAAGGTCGTGCAGTGGGAGGGGGGCCGGCAGGGACGGGTCTGGGCCAGAGGGGTGGCTGGTGGGGTGGAGGTCTCTGGCACAGAGACTCCCTCCCCGATGGGGAACTTGGTCCCCCCAGGACCCAGCGTGTCTGGGGACCTGGCGCTGGGGGGGTCGTGACCCCGCTGTGCCCCGCCCACAGGGCCCGGACTCCCACTATGGCACCAAAGGCCTGCGCAAGGTGACCCATGAGTCGCCCACAACGGGGGCCAAGACCTGTTTCACCTTCTGCTACGCAGCCGGGAACAACAATGGCACGTCTGTGGAAGACGGTCAGATCCCCGAGGTCATCTTCTATACCTAGGCTGTCTCCCCACCGCCCACCCGTGGGGGACAACCAGGTCCCCGAGGCCATCTTCACACTAGGCCACCCCACACTGTGCCCTCGGCCATCTGCCCACTCCCTGCCACCTTTCTCAGCATCACGAAAGGGGCTGCCCTGTGTCCGTGGTGACAAGTGAGGCTGCTTATTTCATAGAAGCCAGGGAGGTGGCCAGGCTGGGGCCCCTTCCAGACAATCCCTCAGGACCGGGGGCTGGCCGCACCTGCCCCGCCCGAGCAGGCCTAGGCTCGGGTCACGGCCCCTGCAGCTCGGGCGTCTGCCCAGCTCTCCTGACCAGGGTCCGTGTAGGGTGTCTCCCGTCTGTTCTGTTAACTGCACATGGCAATGCATTTGGGGTTCCCATTTCTCTGCCAGGAGATGCTTCGTGGGGGCAGCTCCAGAGCCATTGGTGTGGGCCTTCTGTTCCCCTCCTTGTCAGTTCACTGGGGACATGCAGGTCCCACCTGCCATGCGCGTAAGGCTGCCCCAGCCTGCTGGCGCCCCCACCTCCGGGATGCTGGCCCAAGGCCTGCGGTGTGGGGCTGGAGCCCTGCACGGTCCTGGGGGATGGGCTCCCGTCAAGCCCAGCCCCAGCCCAGGGGGCTGGCGGTTTGCCCTTTCCGTTCTCATCCATGCAGTGGGCCCCGTGCTGTCCCCCCTCTCTGGACAGGCCCCTGCAGCTGAGGGCAGGGCCTCACAAGGCCCAGTGGGTCCCTGGCTGGCCTGCCCACCTGTACATACCGTAGCCCACCCCACCCCGGCCACCGAGTGTCGCCTGGAGGTGCTGGAGGGCACAGCCCCTCCCCACCCCTACCCCTCGTGTTTCTGCCCCAGTGACTCCTGGAACCCACGTCCTCCCCAAAGCCATGGAAGGTGTGCCCTCACACCACGGCCCAAATGATTTTTTTTTTTAATAAAGGAAAGAAACACTTGCCTTGAGCTGCTGAGTGCTTCTTCCCGAGAGGGGCATCGAGGAAGCAGTGGGCAGGGCTGGGGCCTGCAGGACTGGGCAGCTTAGGGAAGTCCCCCCTGTAAGAGGGGCCGTGAGCGCCGTGCGGTTCTGCTATCACTGGAGGACACGTGGGCCCACTGGGCCTCTGCAGCCACCCTCCTGCGCACCACACCCACAGAGGCTTTAGCACAGGTGTGCTGGAAGCCTGTGCCAACTCACGTCGGTAACGGTCCCGCTGGCTGCTAGGGGACCACGGATCATTCGTAAGGGACAGAGAAGCAGGGAGTGCTGGGTTCTGGCCACAACTGCACAGCTCGTGTGAGACAAACCGTCTTTTGGAAACCAGCTGAAGGAACCACCAGACCAGACAGGAGGCAGTGGGGCAGGCAGAGCTGGGAGGAGGGCACCCCACGAGGTGGCCCGCGTTCCCTCCAGCTCTTTCCTGAGGGCATTTCCCCAGCATTGCCTCAGGGAAAAAGCAAAGTCTCACGAGTTGAAAAGACAGGGTCAAGGTTTGTGGCTGGGGACACAAAGACAAACTCCTGGGGCAAAGGAACCAGCAGGGAATGGGAGTCTGTGCTCAGCTGCTCTCAAGCCATTGCCTGACTCACGCACATACATACAGGGCAAGAGTCCAAGAAATCCAGCAGCAGGCAGCCACCAAGCAGGTACAGGGCAGAGCAAGGTTCAGAAGTTGTGCAGAGCCAGGAGCAGGCACTGGAGGTGGAGCTCAGCCTAGGTAGGGGTGGCCGGAAGGGACCTGCACCAGGAACAAGGACAGCACCCCTGGGACAAAACCTAAAGAGACAAGCCTTATAACGAAGCCTGGCTAGGACTGCAGGAGCCTCTTGCCTTTTCTTTCTCGGGAAAGACAACATCAGCACAAGCCTCCACTGTTCGTCATCTACAATGTCCAGCATCCACTCAAAGATTACAAAGCATGCTAATAATACAACTACAAAGAGAAAACACAGAACATAGAAACAGACCCCATTTCAGATGCTGAAGTTATGGCAAATTTGTATACTTAAGACAACAGAAGAAATGGATGAAAAAAATAATTTCAACATAGAGTTGAAATTTGCCATTCTAGAATGGTAAAATACAATAGCTGTAATTAAGGACTCCCTGGGATAGGAGTAACAGTAGACTGGACATAAAAGATGACAGAATTGGTAAATTAGAATCCAGGGCAACAACAACTAAAAGTCCAAGGTAAAGCAGAGGGTAAAAAAAGAGTGGAAAACCAGAATAGGACATAAGAGACATATGACACAGGGTCTAACACACGTCTAAAGAGAGTCCCAGAAAGAGAGGAGAGAGTGACACCCAAGCTATAGCTGAAGCGATGACAGCTAAGAATTTTCCAAAATGAATGAAAGACACAAACCCACATATTAAAATAAAACAAAACAAAAAACTCACATGTGACCCAGGATTAAAAAAAAAAAAGAACCTCGCCCCCCCCAAAACCAAACTAGATGTCACGTATAAACTGCTGAAAAGCAAAGGCGCAGTGGCTCACGCCTATAATCCTAGCACTTTGAGGAGGATCACTTGAGGCCAAGAGTTGGAGGCTGCAGTGAGCTATTGTGACACCACTGCACTCCAGGCTGGGCAACAGAGGGGAACCCTATAAAAATAATAAATTTTAAAAGCAACAAGGAGAAAGAAAGTACTCCCACGACAGAATTCTGTGCCTTTCAAAAATGAAAGTAAAAACATAAACCAGAGTCAAAGAAAGCAGGTAGATGACACACTTAAACTCAACTATATAATTACACTAAATGTAAACAGATTTAAATGCTCCAGTTAAAAGATGAAGATTGTCAGATTTGAACCACATGAACAATAAATTTGACCTAATTGACATATATAGAACACTACATCCAATAACTGCAGAACACGTGTTCCTTTCCAGTGCACAAGGAACAATGAAGTTATGGGCTACGTGAAGGAAGAAGAGATGACCCACGATCAAGAGAAAAACCAGCCAATAGAAGCAGATCTACAGAGGCCGGATGCTGAAATTAGTCGTCTATGATTTTTGAATCACTGTTTCCAATCTGTTAAAGAATATAGGGGCAGAAGAGTAAATAGATGGAGAATTTCAACAGAGAAACAGGAACTCCAAAGAGACTCAGTGACAGATGAACACACACACACACACACACACACACACACACACACAGGACTGGAGGAGGAGAAATTCTCGAACTGAAATATATCTGCAAATAATTTTTTGCATGTCTTAAGAGCAGACAAGACACAACAGAAGAGAAACTAGTACATCCAAAGACAGGTCAAAAGAAATGATCCAAACTGAAGCAGAAAGAAAATAGAAATAAAACAGTCTCAGAGACCTGTGGGATAATATTAATATAAACTGGTCCTATATACAGCTAACTGTAGTCCTGGGAAGAGAGAGAGAGAGAATGGGCAGAAGAAATGTTCCAAGAGGTAATAGCTAGAAATTTTCCCGAATGATGAAAGATATCTATCCACAGATCCAATAAGCTCAGCGAATGACAAGCAGTATAAACACAATGAAAACCGTACATCATAGCTAAATAACTTAAAACCAAAGATACAGAAAAAATTCTCAACAACAGCCAGACAAAAAAGGTCCACTACTTTGAAGGGAATGACAATGACAACTGACTTCTCAACAGAAATAATGGAATATTTAAAATGCCAAAAGGCAAAAAAACAAAAATTTAGAATTCACCAACTGAGAATTCTACTCTCAGCAAAAACATACTTCATTAATGAAGATTTTTCAGACAACCAAAACCTAAGATAATGTGTTGCCAACAAACCCTCACTATAACAAATATTAGGTCGGGCTTGGTGGCTCATGCCTGTAATCCTAGCACTTTGGGAGGCCAAGGCAGGAGGATTGATTAAGGCCAGGAGTTGGAGACCAGCCTGAGCACTATAGTGAGACCCCATCTCTACTTAAAAAAAAAAAAAAAAAAAGAAAGAAATATTAAAATATTAAAAGAAGCTCTTCAGGCTGAAAGGAAATGATCCCAGATGCAATCTCTGACAGGAAAAAAACAAAGAACGTCAGAAAGGGATTAACACGTGGGTAAACATATAAAACTCTTTACCATGTATTTAAACAACTTTATAAAGCAAATATAACAACAGGGAATGGTGGGCTTATAAGTAAAATAACAATAGCACAAGAAGGAGGATGGAAATGGGAAGTATTTGTGCACATGCCGACACACATACACGCCTGCTTCTGCATTTATCCATCTGTTCATATATAAAAAGCCATAATTTGAACGGATACCTCCGGCTCCAAGCTGACACCACAGGGCTCGCTCTAACCTTCCTCCTTTTCCTGATTTACGATGGTGCAGGTGGGACTCCACCAGCTTATTAACCACCCCTGCGTGCTAGGCGGACAGGACAGGCGAGCGTTCACCCGAGCTATTGCCTGTACGACCACGACGGGATCACTCCATCGTCCTCTGTTCATGCCACCTTTAGAGTCGCACCATTTCTACCGTGTCACAGCACATACCAGTGGTACCCTGGCCTCCCACCCTCGGCCTTACCTTTTAGTCACAGATGCACGTTTCTGCGTTTTAACCTCGTCACCTGACAAAACTCGCCCCTACTGGGTCCCCCAGGAAGAGCAGATGGGTCCGCCACTCCCCGAGTTCTCGGAGGTGGAATTTTGACTTTCCACAGCCTTGACATCAGAGGGACGGCCTGGCTGGATATGCAACCCTTGGTTCACACTTGGTTCTCTTGAGCTTTTCAGGCTGCCGCACCATTCACCGCCTTGCTTTGTTAGCTTTGAAAAATAGGATGTCCGTCTCTCATCTTTGAATGTTATTTTATCCACCTGCCTGCAGGCCCTCGAGGGATCACCGCGATGTTTAAAACAGAATTGTTTTTCCAGGCTCCGTCCTGTAGTTGGTTATTCTGGTTTAATTTTCCCAGGCGCCCATTCAATGTGCAGATTCAGACTTTTACCTGGAAAGTTTCCTCCAATGAGTTTCAAATACTAGCTGTTTCCCCTCTGCTGAGATTCTGACGTCAATAACGTCATTCCTCGGCCTGTCTTCGACGTGCTCTGCTGTTCCTCGACAGTTTGACTTATTCTACCTTTTCATTTCCTTGGTTGTCTTCAGCCTTCGATGCCCTCTCAGGTCTCCACCTTGCAACTTACTTATTTCTAAAGCCGTTTATTCTTTTTCTGTTTACTTCCTGAATTCAATCAGCTGTTTTTCAGTTCTGTTTTTTGTCCACTCCTGTCCTTAGTTTTTTTTTTTTTTTTTAATTTGAGGCAGGTTCTCGCTCCATCGCCCAGGCTACAGTGCAGTGGCATCATCATAGCTCACTGCAGCCTCCAACTCCTGGGCTCAAGTGATCCTGCCTCAGCCTCCTGAGCAGCTGGGACCACAGCGCAGTCACCACACCCACCCCACCCTTAGTTTTTGAATCTCTGATGCAAGATGGTTTTTCTGTTTTCAGATGCCTACTGGAACGAAGCCAGCCGTTTTCTCTGGCCTCACAGTGACTTGTCTGGTGGGAGGCCGTCCTCTATGTGCAGGTGTGGAATCCTCGGCGTACGGTCCCCCTGCCCCCTTCACTCCCCACCGGGATGCAGGTCGGGGCGGGTGGGAGGCTGAGATCCCAAGACAGCAGCTGGGGACTCCCCTTCTCACTTGCGTGTGACGTGTGGGTGTGTCCATGACTTGCTCTCCCCTCCTGTGTCGCTGGGAAGAAAACGCTGCAGGATGGTGGCGGGAGATGCTGCGGTCTCACACCCGGACTCCTGGTCCGCTGCTTCTCAGAACTGTCGCTGATCCTCATCATCCTCTTCCGGGCCCCTAAAGGAGATACGTTTTCCTCTCTGCTCCATGAACACAGTCACTGGGGTTCCTGCCTCACGCTGTGAGACGCAGCTGAGACGAAGCCTCCAGGGCAGCCCCGGAGCGCTGCAGACGCACTTGCAAAGGGCAGGTAACCCGTGACCTCTGTCCCTCTCTGGGAGGTCCCCAAGCAAGCCCAGCCGCTTGTTCCGTTGTCTCACTCATCCTCTTCTCCCTCCAACTCTCCCACCAGGGCCAGGGCTCCAGGTGCCACCCGCCCCTGCGCCACACCCCCTGGAAAGACCAGACACCACACTTGGGATTGGTTTCATTTTTCTTTTATTTTTTAAAAAAAGCCCCTAAATTCTATGGCTTCAAGGGAGCATCAAAGAAACGTAAATGCCATTTCTGTACACTTTGTAAAGCAAGAACTAGACTCAAACGGCCACTGCCCCGGGCACGGCCCCAAGCTCTGCTCCACTCGGCAGCCTCCAGGGGACCCCACTGGGGGACATTGCGCCACCGTCTGTGGCTGCCCCCGAGCAACCCGCACACAAACCCGCGGGGCTGGGCCAAGGACTTTAAGGCGTTTGTCTCCCGCTGCTTCGCCCAGTGGCGAAGCGCAGACCAAGAAGCCACTGCCCTGACAGCACGGAGAGCAGAGGCACCGCGGCGGCCCACCCCACCTGGCAGGGCCCGCCCCCGCCGGGCCACCGGGAAGAGAATGCGGTGGCCTCGCCTGCCAGCCCCAGCTTTGGTGCAGCATTTTGGTTGGGGGTGGCTTCGGCGCGGCCCCAGCCCCGCCTTCCCCTTTGGTTTTGGGGAGGCCCAGGGTGCAGTCTCACCCATGGCAGCAACGCCTGTGCCCCCTCCCAGGTGGACCGGGACAACATGGCCCGACGCACCCCCTCCCAGGCCAGGCCTGCCCTCCCCTCGAGAAAACGGCCTTTGGACGGAGGGAGACAAGCTGGACTTTATGACGGTAACGGGAGCGGCTGCCCGGGCCTCCGGGACCACACTACTCACTTCAGCAGAGAAACAGGTGGCAGAGGGCAGGGGGCAGGGTGGGTCTCTGTTTTTTTCCTTTTTTCCTTGTTTTAAATAGTTAATGCTCTTGGAGGGGAGGACTAGACACAGGTGTAGAAATTTCGGCCAAAGTCTTACGTGAAAGAAGTGACCCCACGTCCTGGGGGTGGGGGCTGGCGGGCAGACCCAGGCCCCAGCAGCCCCTGCAGTCTGCGCCCTGGCTTCAGGCCAGAGCCCGGCCCTGGGCCACTGCGGGCAGGCCCCAAGGGCCTCATGGACAAGCTCTTGCCCCGAGGGGCTGCACCTGGATTCACAGCACTGCATGAGCCCAGGGTCACTTGTGTCGCTGCATCGATTTTCTCTTTCTCCTCTTGAAGAAACAGCAGCATCTGGGGAGAAAGGGGGACGCAGGGTGGGAGGAGGTGGGCACAGGGTGGCCTCAGGTCCTCCACCCTGACGCTGGGGGCCCAGGGCATCCCCACCCCCCAGTGCTGCCCAGAAACCTTACTTGGTGTCATCAGCCACCTCCACCTCTGCGGGCGCCGTGATGGGGGCATTGGAGTGACCAGCCGTGGGGTCGTCTGCGTTCAGCTCCCCGTTGGTGGAGTTGAGTGCCTGGTGGGGGAGGGGTGTCACGCCGGCGCCACGGCCCGCCCCACGCCCGCGCCCCACCGGCCCTTACCTGGTTTTTGCTGTGCAGCTGGACTTTGTCCCGGAGCTGAGGCTGGGAGGGCAGGTCAGTGTGGACGGTGCCGATGGGTGTTGGCTGCAGCGGGGAGGGGTCGTCAGGAGGGGCCCACCCAGGCCTGGGGGGCTGGGCTCCCCCCATTCCCACTCCCCTTAGGGCTTCCCGGCCCGCCACCCCCCAACACCTACCAAGGGCTTCCCGGCCCAGTCGTACTCATAGTCGAACACGAAGCCGCTGCGGTCGAAGAGGTCGGTGAAGAGCTTCCGCAGGTAGTCGTAGTCCGGCTTCTCGAAGAAGTCCAGGCGCCGCACATAGCGCAGGTACGTGGCCATCTCCTCTGCGGAGAGAGCGCCAGCGGGCCTCGGCGGGGGTGGGGGGCGTGGGGGCGGGGCGGCGGGCGCAGAGGCCCCTTACCTGGGAAGTTCTCGCAGAGCACCTCGATGGGCGTGGCCCGCTTGGTGTCCCCGATCTTCTGGTACCGCTCCTTGAGCGTGTCGGCCTGCAGGAGACAGCCCAGGTCGGCCCAGGCCCGGCCGTGCCCGTCCCGCCCCTGCGCCCGCCGCCCCGTGCGCACCTTGAGCCCTTGCCAGGGTAGGCTGCCACGCAGGAAGTACATGAACATGTGGCCCAGGGCCTCCAGGTCGTCGCGGCGGCTCTGCTCTGCGGGGGGACAGGAGGCTCAGCATCTGCTCCCCCTCCCCCCACGCGCAGCCCCCAGGCGCTCACCTTTGCCCAGGTGTGTGTTGATGCTCATGTAGCGCGCCGTGCCTGTCAGGCTCTTGTGCTCGCGGTACGGGATGTGCTTCTTGGTCTCGGGGTCGATGTACTCCTTGGCCAGCCCGAAGTCGATGATGTGGATGGCGTGCTGCCGTTTGGTCCCCGGGCGCCCCACCAGGAAGTTCTCAGGCTTCACATCCCGGTAGATGAGGCTCTTGGTGTGCACGTACTCCATGCGCGTGATCTGCAGATCGCGGGCCTCAGCGTCTCCCCGGCGGCCAGCCAGGGCCCCGCCCCACCCCGGCAGCCCCTCCCCTCCAGGCCCCGCCCCGCCCCCTCCAGGCCCCGCCCATGCGCACCAGCTGGATGGCAATCATGAGCACCGTCTTCAGCGTGAAGGTGCGGTCGCACAGGTCGAACAGATCCTCCAGGCTGGGCCCCAGCAGCTCCAGCACCATGGCATTGTACTTCCCGCACGGGCCGAAGTAGTAGACCTGAGGGACGCCCTCTGCAGGGAGCAGGGACACGCCAGGTGCAGGGGCAGCCCAGGCCGTGCCCACCCCTGCTGACCCTGCCTGCCCCCGCCCGTACCTGCAGTGCTGAGCTGCTTGTAGAACCGGTACTCCAGGTGCAGCTGTGGGGCCCGAGACTTGATCGGCTCCTGGAAGGACAGGCGCCTGCGTCACCCCCACACACCGAGACTGACCCCAGGCCCCACTGGTGGGGGAGGGGAGGGACGACCCACTCACCAGTTTGATAGCCACGTATTCGTTTGTGTAGAGATTCTTCCCTGTGGGGACAGAGGCATATTAGGGCTGCAGTGCTCCCAGCCCTCCTCAGGGGCAGGCAAGGCTGAATGGGGACCCCACGGCCCCACCCCTCCCCAGCAGGGCATCTCCTGCCAGATAGCCTCTCCCACCCCACACCCCATCCCATGAGGTCACCCCAAATGCAAGCCCCCTCCCCACCATCCACCTCTGTGTTGAGGTGCCCAGGCCTGCACAGGAGCCCCAGACATCTACGCGCTCCCCACCCTCGCAGACTGACACCAGGGCACCGCATCTCCCTTGTGCCCAGGCTTGAGGCCCTGACTCCAGCCTGGCACCCCCATCCCCTTAGCCTGGGGCTCAGCGCAGCTGGCAGGGTCCCTGCAGCCTACACGGGCTGGAAGACACAGAGACACAGCTAGCCCCCCCGCCCAAGCAGCAGGACTTCTGGGCCTCAATCCCACGAAAACGCAAAAAACATGAGTTTCGTGACCAACGAGGTCTGGCTTTTCACCTGTTAGACTGACTGAGAGGAAGGAGGTGGCCAGTCCCTAACGCAGCCAGAGCCCTGGGGGGACAGCTTCTGGAAGACAGCCTGGTGAGGCCGGTGTGACCCCACCGTGGTGGCTCTGAGCCCCCAAAGGTCAGCCCTGCCACGGCAGGGCCCCGTGGCTTCACTGTGTCTACAGTGCTGCCCGGCTGTTGTCTCCAGCACAGTTCACAACCGGCTGTGGACCCCCCAGACGGCTGCAGGACTCCAGGCGACATCTCCAGAACACGCATCGCCAACTCCACGGACAAGGCGCGTCCCTTCGGGTTGAGCCAGTGGCACCTCTGGGCTGGCTCCCGAGTTCTGATGGTGAACGGGTCTGCCCGTCTTCCCCCAGCGTCTTTTCCTCGGCGTTTCAAACAGAAAACCAGAAGGACCGAGCTCACCACCGAGACGACGCAGCTGCGCACCCACCACCCGTCGCCATCTCTTCTCAGGACGCATCTCCGGCTCGGACATCAGCACGCTGCCCCCAGTGTCCTGGCCGCAGGCTCAGCTTAGCATGTGCTCATCGTCCTTGCTTTTCCGGCGGAGGTGAGGTTTACGCGGGGGATGCAGCATCCCAGGTGCGCTGTCTGATGCGCTCTGGCCGACGCCTGCTCCTGTCGAGAGCCACCCACGGCAGGCCCTGCCCACCCTGCCCACCTTCACTACCCATGGCAGCCCCCGAGGTGGGGTGGCCTGGCAGGTTCCTGTGTGTGTGGCCCCCTCGCCTGGCGTGATGTGGGTGTGATCCGTGTCCCCCCATGTCCGTGGTTTGCTGTCTTCTGCTGAGCAGCCGCCCGTCATGGGGACAGGACCCCGTTACCCACCATGCCCGGTGCGTGAGTGCAGAGCTGCAGCTGTTTCCTTCCCTGGCAGAGCTGCCCACGTGTGCTGATGGGCACGGGGTGTGACTCGCAGAGGGCTGACAGCCGGACGTGTGGCCGCTCCTCCGTCTTCCCCGGTGACGTGTCTGCTCTAACCTCTACCTGCCTGCAATCGGACGTCTGTCTTCCTGTCGTGAAGCTGTGGTTCCTTCGCGTGTCCCGGGCATCAGGTGTCAAAGCTGCTCTGCAGATCTCCGTGCCGGTGGCTCTCCCGTCCGTGTTCTCAACCAGCCTCTAGACGAACAGACCTTTCACCTTTCACACATGAAGATACCTAGCCGATCAGCGTTTTCTTTTATGGGGGGGTCTGTCCTGTGCTTTGTTGGGGAAGCCTTCAAGTGAGTCCCTCGTGTTTTGACTGCACATCTGAGGTCAGGGAGGGTCAGAGTCCTCGGACGTTAGGTGTGCGGGCAGCTCGCGTCTTCGCAGACGTGGGGACTCCTGGAGGTCAGGTGCTCTGAGCTCTGAAAGCCTCACGAAGGCTCCAGCTGTGCGCGCAGAAGGCAGCAGAGCCTTTGAGGCCTGACGGAGAACAACTCCCGAGGGGCCGTCAGCTGAAATAAGATTGTGGAGCCCCCGCCACCCAGAGCACATAGACCTCCCTGAACTCCCTGACACCCAGCTGAGAACCAGAAAGTCCACACATGAGGAATGGGCTCTTCTAGCCCTGGAGCAACAGCCACTCTCAGACCTGCCCCGAAGGATCCAAGAACCAACCCCTGCCGGGATCGAGAGGAGACACCAGCACCAACGGCGGCACTCTACTCTGGGCAACGCTCATAACGGGATCCACGCTTTTACTTTTTCTTTTTCTTTTTTTTTTTTTGAGAAAGAGTCTCACTCTGTTGCCCGGGCCAAAGTGCTGTGGCGTCAGCCTAGCTCACAGCAACCTCAAACTCCTGGGCTCAAGCGATCCTTCTGCCTCAGCCTCCCGAGTAGCTGAGACTACAGACGTGCGCCACCATGCCTGGCTAATTTTTTTCTATATAGATTTTTAGTTGTCCAAATAATTTCTTTCTATTTTTAGTAGAGACGGGGTCTCGCTCCTGCTCAGAGCTGGTCTCGAACTCCTGACCTTGAGTGATCCACCCGCCTCGGCCTCCCAGAGTGCTAGGATTACAGGCGTGAGCCACCGCGCCCGGCCACTTTTTATTTTTCTTAAGAGACAGGGTCTCACTCTGTCACCCAGGTGGGAGTGCAGTGGCGTCATCACAGCTCACTGCAGCCTCCAACTCCTGGGCTCAAACGATCCTCCTGTCTCAGCCTCCCGAGTAGCTGGGACTACAGGTGTGACCACCGGGGCCCGGCTATCCACACTCAACATGCAGCATCCACCCCATCCAATGTACAGTAAAACTTTAGCAGACAAATGAGAAAGGAAGAGAATATGACCCATAACAAGGGGAAAAAGTCAATGTCGTCACAGGCACCAGCATTTAAAACAGTGCTCTGGCTTGAATGTGTCCCCCAAAGTTCACTTGTTGGAAACTTGCTCCTCAATTCCACAGTGCTGGAGTGATTTGGGCCAAGGGGGCATGGCCCTCATGAGTGGGTTAATCTGTCATCACAGGGGTGGGTTTGTTACCGCACTGGCTCCTACAAAAACGGTGAGCTCAGCCCTCTCCTGTTCTCACCCTCCCGCCTTCCACCAGGGGATGACACCCCAAAGACGGCCCTTGCCAGATACCAGCCCCTCAATCTTGGGCTCCCGGCCTCCAGATCCGTGAGCTGAGTACAAATTACCCAGCCTGTAGTGTTCTGTTACAGCAGCACAGCTAAGACTAAGACAAATAACTTCATGAATGTGTTCAAGGATTTAAAGGAAAAGATGGCCAAATAAATGTGCAGATGGGAAATCTCAACAGAGCTCTCAGACGGGGCTGGCAGACGCCATCTCGGAAATGAACAGTTCACTGGATGTACTTCATGCTGGACGCTGCAGGGAAAAGGCTGAACTTACAGCAGCCAACAGAAACTACCCAAACCGTAGCAGAGACAACAAAAGGAGCTCCAGGGACCCGGGGGACAGAGCCAACACTCCCATCACACATGTCAGAACCAAAGTAAGTTTGAGGCAGAAAAAAATTTGACAAAATAGTGCTTATAATTTTGCCAAATTTAATGAGAAAGTGTTAATATATAGATCCAAGAAGCTCAGTGAATTCTGAGCAGGATTAACACAAAGAGCCTAAATAGAGCATTAAACAAAAGACACTTTCTATACAAGGAAACAACATTCAACAACACAAGTCATCAAGGGAATGCAAATCAAACCCTTGGTGGTGCCACTGCGTCTCCACCCGTGATGACCCACTGCACACCCCGCACTTCCATCTGCGGATGACCCACTGCACACCCCACACCTCCACCTGCGGTGACCCACCGCACACCCCACACCTCCACCTGCGATGACCCAGCGCACACCCCACACCTCCACCCGGGGTGACCCACTGCACACCCCACACCTCCACCCGGGGTGACCCACTGCACACCCCACACCTCCACCTGCGATGACCCACCGCACACCCCACACCTCCACCTGCGATGACCCAC